ACAGCATTTTCCCCATTTTTTGTTTATTTTCCCCGGCGGCAATGGGTTAAAAAAGAAGAAAAAAAAATTACACACATATATAAATATTAGAAGAATGAGGATGCTGTGTGAGAATTTGGCTGCAGCACACATGATTTTCCAGCAAATGAGACTAAAACAAGGCTTTAAGTCCATTTTTGAGGGGCTGTAGAACATGGAAAGCCATCCCCAGAGCCAAACAAGCAAACAACTATAGAATGCAAAACTAAGTGCAGGCTGACCTTGCCACCTAACTGTTCATTGTTTAACTGCAATGATGCACTTTGCAAGCATCAATTGTTTATGGGTTTCGTTTTGGTTTGGAGTGTAGAGAGGGACCGTGGGATGAATGTACGCAAATGTACGGCCTAGCCTATATTAAAGAAAAATATTATATGTAAGCTTATGATTTACCTTACCACATTGATTCATAAGCTCAATAAATAGTAGCAAAACATGGTTGGTGGTAAGGGGAAGCAGATCATTGAGTATTTAAAAGAAACAAAAAGAAAATATGAGTGACAGCGATGATGGTGGTGGATGGGGGAGAGTGCCTGTTTTTGGCGAAAACAAGAGTTACGATCACTGGAAACAAGAACTGAAAGCATGGAAGCTTGTCACAAACAAAGGAAAGAAAAAACAAGCTGTGACCGTCGCCCTGTCATCTATAGAAGGAAGCAAGGTGAGAGGCAAGATTTTTGAAGAAGTGAACATCAAAGAGTTAGTAAACAGTGATGGAATGGATGTTTTGCTCCAACATGGACAAGAGGTACAAAAAAGATGAGATGTCAGCAGTGTACAAGGCATGGACAAGGTTTGATAGTTACAAAAAAGAAAAAGGAGACATTATGAAGAAGTACATTTAAGACTTTGTCAAGAGAAGTGCAGTTTAGTACAAGTACAAAGTGAGAATACCAAAGTGTATTTTAGTGTTCAAGCTATTAGATAATGCAGGGCTAGAAGTTAAAGACAAACAAATAGTACTGATAGCAGTATCCTTCACTGATCCAGATAGGAGGTTTGATTCCATGCAGCAAGCCCTTAAGAAATTTTCTGGAAGTCAACAAGTACTGTCATTTCAGTGTCAGGGAGTATTGGGAGTGAAAGTCCTGCAGTGGTTGTGAAATCTGAGCCAGTATTTAACACTGAGGAGGTGAATGTTGTTACAAGGGGAAGAGGATGTGGCAGACTTAGTGGCAGAGGAAGAGGAAATGTGACAAATAGAACTGTGAAAGATGGACAAAGAAATTCTGTTGACAAATATAGAAATATAAGAAGGTGCCATCTGTCCCCAGGATGTCCGAGAAATGTGTATGTGAATAGTGCAAGTGAGGAAATACAACAAGAGGAAGAGTCGTCTATTGTTGTTGACAGTCCTGGAATGATGTTGGTGTTAATGACAGAGTCTATAAACTATGCTATCCTGGACACAGCATGTAGTTCTACTGTGTGTGGTATTGATTGGTTGAAATCATACATACAAATTTTATCAAAAGAAGAAGAATTGAGAATAGAAGAGAAGGAAAGTGAAACTACATTTAAATTTGGTGACAGTAATGTGTTTAAGTCAATGAAGGTGATATTGCAGTAATACATGGAAAAGAGGTGAAATTGAGGTGCACTTCTGGACACTATTGCCTTCCACAAAGGGATGAGAAGGAAAACAAAGAAATATTGTTAACTTTAGGACTTTGTGTCAAAAAAAAAGAAAAAGAAGATTGAAAAATCACACCAACAGCTTGGTCATCCTATGTCTAAGAGATTAATTCAGCTAATCAAGGATGCAGGCATTGATGATGAACTGTGCTTCATTTATGCTGAAGGTGTCAGATAGTTGTGAGATATGCATCATATATAAAAAGACACCAGCAAGGCCAACTGTGAGTGTAAATATGGCAAAGGAGTTCAATGAAGTGGTGGTAATAGACCAAAAAGAATGTAAGAAAGGAGAGATTTATTTCCTACATATGGTAGATATGGCAACAAGGTTCTCAAAATTAGCATTGAAATTGGAAAAATGTGTATATTGTCTTAATGATGCTGCTAGGAAGTGGTATCTCACAGTTAAAGCTTTCCCGTTGAAGATGGGATATAATGAGTTGAAAACTGACCCTGACACATTCTATTGGTATTATGAATGAGAATTATGTGGTATGTTTTTAATGCATGTAGATAATTTCTTGTGGGTGGGAACAGAAAGATTTCAAAAGAGTACTGTAAATCTTTAGAATCTATAAATGTAAGTGCTGTGAGGGAACTAACCAAGAATATGGAATGTAATGTAGAAGAAAAGGAGAGTTTTTTAAGTGGTTATGTACTAATTCAAGACCTGACTTATCATACGATGTATTGGAACTTAGCTGTAAAGTAAATAGTTCCAAAGTAGATCTGATTGAGACAAATAAGTGTCTAAGGAAAGCTTATACTTCTAAGAGCTCAATGTACTTTCCAGGACTTGGTGACATTTGTAAGTATAAGTTGG